TTGATTACATTTATAGCGAGAAGTGTAGGGTTTATTTATAGAATATTTAGTTAGTGAACATACATAATCAGCCGCTTGCTAGCAACGTTTTGGCTGCTACCCATCGCCTAGCATTTAGCTGCCGCCCCGATTCAACATTGAATTCTTTGTGATTTAACTCCATCGGACGGATCAAACCCTCGCCACTGCGTGCGTTGCGTCTGAGGTTGATTTTCAGATCAATGCATTACGTCGTGGCATACAGTAATTGTACTTTTGTTAGCATCTCTATGAAGCTTGTCAACAAAGGAAGCTCTTGATTGAACATTGGTAATCCTGAAAAAGCTGCAGTCAGCTATGTTGATTCCACTCAACTTTTTAAATACGCTGTTAAAGAACTCTGTGCTTGATGCAAAACAGGTTTGATACAGAATTCTGATCTTTTATGAGTTGCCGCAAACTCTACACTAGCAATCTTCATATGAAAAGATATCTGGTTATATTTCAGTTTTTACAGAAACTGAACATTGGTCCACATTAGATTTAATATGTAATGATCATAATAAACAGAAATATGTGCTTTAAACACTACACTGTGGGTATAAAAATTCCATGTAATATGAGATTATCATATATTGAAAACTGTAAAGATAGTCTTATTTATTACTAATAACCTATGAACAGTGAAGTTAAACAGCCATTTAAACCAGATCTGTACATTTACTTTCTGCTTTCCCGAATATTTACACCTTGAATCATATGCATATGCCACAAATACAGATCAATATGTTCTCTCTAGTTTCAATCAGCTTGTTATTGATATTTCATGTCAGACCTTTTTTCTTGGGTCGTGTCTGATTGCTATTGCATATAAATGCTACTCTACGAGGGTTCCTTAATGATTAGCCGAAACCTGAAATTTGATCAAGTGCGTCATTCAAGAAATTGGCTGTTTCCAAAAACATAACTTTCTTTTCTCTTGGAGAGATTACATTGGCCTTATTACTGTATTTATAATCAACTTTATTTCTGTAGAGTTGACCAAAAACAAGAAAAATGTCATAATTTCATTTCTTTTATTTTAAATTCTCCAGATTGGGAGAAATCATGTGCTTTTCTCAGAATTTTTATGAAAGACTGCACAACTGAAAACTAAAACTACAGAGTTAACCAAATATGACGTTCAGTGCTGATTCAGACTTCAACTTCTTCAACCTGCTCAAGCCCGACATGAATGAGACTTAAGTTCCGTTTTCTCTTGAATGAGGAACTAACACAGCAGCTGTGGTATGTTGAAACAACAAGATGATTCATGTTTAAATGTTGTAATCTTGCTCACGTCAGCGTGGATTGGTGAGCACATCAGGGACACAACTAGATTTATTAGTAAAACAGAAACAGAAAACAATTTCTAAAGATCATTAACTCTTCAAGGAAAATTTAAAATTGTTTGGGTACCAAATAATATTTTAAAGTTCTATAAAGCTTTCATCAACTGCTTTTTTTGTAGAAAAAAAAATCATAAACAAGCTCCTTCATGCCTTGATGACATAACAAGGAAGTGATTCATTTATATGAATCAGGTATGAAAGACTTTTATAGGAAACAAAAAAAGAAAAAAACAAAACAAAAACTTTAGTATAGAAAAGAGCTAAATAAAACAATAGAGAAACAATAGAGAAATCCCAGCTCTGTAGTTTTGATTCGAACAGCTGCAGCATTTTGGACTAAGCTTGGAACTATGGAGTAACACTGACTGAAGAATATGAAAGGGGCTATTATATTAAATTAAATTTAGTTGGAGCCTGAAACAGCTACTTAGATTGACTTAAAACAGGTATATCATCCTCCCACAGCTAAAATGCATCTTTTTAAAATATTCAATTAAAATAACATATAGTATATATATGTGTAGTACTGAACTGAATTCAAATAATAACTAAACAATAATTACTCTAAGGAATTATGAACAAATTTTTAACTTAATTCAGTTTAAAGGTCATAGCTAAAGGATTCTAATAAAATAAATTCAGGGCGCCTAGGGAGGTGCAAAATAAAAGTATGCTATTAATTTAAAAAAAAAACAAACAAGCAAAAACAAGAGTATATGAATAACTGTTTTATACATTTTGACAGGTCCAAAATATATAAATATCTACTCCTGGTGTCACATAAGATAGAGTTCATGTGACTGAAAAAATACCTTTTCTCTACTTTGCATTTCTCAGATTCAAGCCCCCAAAAAACTAGAGTGAATAACAGTCAGTTTTTTTTAGCAATGGTGGCCGCTTAATTGATTGATTGACTTTAGGCTACTGATCTCAAAGTGGAGAAATGTACCTGTTACATCAGTTCAAATAGGATTCAAAAGGGCTAAGAAGCTATGTTGAAGTTATATTTTCTTTCTTTCTTACTCTCTATTTGTCTGTCTTTCTTTCGAAATAAGTTGTCATTAGAGTTCTACCAAAATAAAGATAGAAAGAAGGAAATAAAGACAAAAATATATGTTAGCATTAGCAAACCTGGCAACCCATTGATAACAACAGGAGAGTGCCACCTACTGGCTGGGAGTAGTTAAATTGGCAGCTACTGTATCATCTTTATTATAGTGTAACTTTGGACTCTTATCCTCTCACAATTAAACTCTTTCAGAGCTATTCTAATTACATCAGTTTACACCGGCTTTTATATAATTTAGCAGGGCAGATTCTAGGATCAGAGGTTTAGAGAGCTGTCTGGTCAGACAAGATGAATTTCACTGTTTTCTACACTTTTTGAAACTTGTTCAGTGCGTTTTGCTAATAACTGACTCCATTATTCACTAATGCATCGTATCTTAGACTTGTGCCAGAAACCGGACAAGCAAAGCAAGCTTTTAAATCTAATTTAATGGAAACTTTTGAGTTTTCTTTTTTGTGTTTGCCAAAATTACTTCCATAATAAATGTAAAGTAATCTACTGAATAAAAAGTTTTTCTTTGCCACTTTAACAACTGCTGCTATTCTGTTTTCTTACCTGTGTTTTTTCCTGACCTTTGTACATCTCTCCCTCTTTAGACTGGCAATCATAAAATGGATTGTAAATTCAAATAACTAAAAACTGAAAAAACTTGTAATGATTTACTAATGATTCGGTAAATTTAAATATTGATATCGCATTGTGGTTTTAAAGATAATCAAACAAACCAGTTTCAGAAACATTCGAGCACCCCGCTGATGAACATTTCACCAACATACCATCAATAGGTGCAGAAATATGACTGAATATTTCAAAAACACCTGAATGGAGTGTTTTCCTCAAAGCATTGGTCAACATTTTAGTTAAGGAGCTCCATCAGACTTGTTTTTTTATTTATTATTATTTCTGATGAACCAAAACATAATTGAAGGGGTTAAGTAACCAAATACTGTATAGTTTTTACAATGTCACATTTCTTCTGTTTTTTTTTTTTTTTTATTATTGTAACAAGCGCATACAGTACTAAAAAAAATCCTCATATTTTAGGGGTGCCTTGATTCAAATTTGGGTTGCTTCAGCAACCCCAAAATAGGCAAAAAACGTCCATGCAGCTTAGTAAAAAGGTTCCTATTGACCATTACTTGTTTCATCAACAGCTTAAAAAAATCACCTCAGTCAGCTACATTCAGGATATAAGAATTTATTCATTTACAAACATGTAAAAATGACAAAAACAGGTGAGGGGGTATAAAATGTTCCTCTCTGACAAGGCTTCCTAAGCCATCCTCAGGAATGAATGGTCATTCCACATGTGTTTTTTTTTTTTATCTGGAAAACTGCAGTAAAAAAGAATTAACAAGGCTCTCTTCCCAAAGTATCGCTACAAATACATCTTGTACATCATTTTAACAAGTTACGTACAAAAACAGCTTGCTTTTTGTTTGATGAAATACAAACGAGAAAAAAAAAACACCACATACAGCAGGCTAACGGCACACAATTCATGACAGACTTTCGATTCAAATATAGAATCATAAGTCTATGAAATATTCACAGTGCTGCCATCACATCAGGGATGTGAATTGTAAACATTTTTGCATATCGTTACTCGTCTCAATAAATACACTCACAATGCAGAATGAGGAGAAAAATGTGTTTGATACTCTTCAATTTCTGATCACGCTTTTGTTTATCTTCGCTTGTCGGATAACGCCGTCCTGTTGTTTTTTTAATAAACTAAAATAAGGCAAAGATCATCTCCGTTAATGTCAGACTATTTCGGGTAAAATCATGGATTTAATATTAAATGGTAACGAGGATGATTTCATAAAAGCATAACTTATTCACAATAAACTATACTTATGAACATTTATACACTTTGAACAAAATACTTTAAGGTTAATGGGAAACAAAGGGGGGATGATTCCAGGAAACAGGCAGGTGAAACATAAATGTACTGTGAAACAGCAGGGCCATTTTGGATTAAAGTAGTTATTGGAGTTAACTATCTGTTCATACCGCGTCATAAATGTAAGTGGACATGGAGAGGTAAACTAGCACCATTCATTCACGGGACACTGTACAGATAAAGCGATTCTCACAGAGAGACCTTATCTAGTACACCTACAGAACTGTGAAGAGCACCTTTTGGCATCACTAATAGGGGAGTAGAAAACATTAATTTGCAAAGCGGACTGCCGCTTTCAGAAAGCAGGTCTTATCCTGAATTGTGGCCCTTACAGGACTCCATCTCTTCAATTTATCTGATTGTCGGTTTGACGCTGAAACAAAGTCAAGCGGAAGAACACTAATCAAAAAAGCTGAGGATGTCTTACAAAGAGAACATTTCAGTCGTCTTGAAAAGGCTGCAGCAGAGGATTCAAATCTTTAACAAGAATGAAATGTTTCCAGTGTTTAGGACCATGGTGCTGTTGTGTGCTCAGTACAGCTGCTATTTGCTTTTGTTCTTTGACGCATCTGCAGGGGAGGAAGAAAAAGAGTAGAACAGGATGAGAAAAAAAGCCCTAAAACAAGATTAAAATATTTAAAAGCAGCTCAAATTAAAGAATCAACATCCATTGACTCTATCTTTACACTTTGTCACATTGTAATCACAGATAATACATTTTATTGGGATTCTATGTGGTTTATACGCCTATAACATTAATACCTGAGGGTTTCTGGTTGTAACGTGACAAAATGTGAAAATACAGAGATAAGAGTTTAAAAAAAATACAGGCATGCAGGCTGGATTTAAGCAGGCAAACATTGGCAGGAGGAAAAATGAGGAAAAAAAAGGTGGGAGGTTCAAGCAGAGTAACGGACCGAGTTCAGCTGCTAGAGCAGCGCTGAGCTGGAGTCTGAGTCGGAATCGTGGTCGGGATGAGAGCGGGGCTCCAGGGCACACGCGGACCCCTGAGCCCGCTTGTACTCTTGCAATTCCAGGCGAAGAGCGTTGAAGCGCGCCTCACTTAGCGAGCGAGGAGGGTTGACGGGGGGAGGTGGGCCTGGGTGGGCAGCAGGGACAGGAAAGGCATGGAGGGAAATGTCATGGGATGAGCTAACAAAAATCATAGCACTGGAACATAAGTGGAACACATGCAGCACTGTCGCATGAAGCACACCACCAATCACACATGCAGCACTTAAAAAAAAGAAAGAATAAAAAGATCACCTTTCTGTTGCTGATCCCGGAGGCCGCCAGTTTGATCAGATCCCAGTTCCCTTCGGCTTTGCTGAAAACCAGCTTGAGACTGGTCAAACTTGGTGGCCTCCAGGACCTCGGAGTCCAAACAGGCATCAGCAGCGTCCCACTCATAGCTTTCATCTACTGAAGTGTTCCTTCTAATGAGATATACAGAAAGTGGTGAGGAAACAGACAGGAATGAGACAAGAAAAAAGAGCCTCACAATAAAAGTATTTTTGGCAACATGAATAAATCCATCTGAGAAGAGGATGCTCCGCATCGTCAGTCATTCCAGTCATGCTGTGCTGGTCTTTCACCTTTTAACTCTCCTCTTAGCCATCTCCATCTCTGCTCTGTGGCGTTGATGCTCCTCTGTGGTCTCTGGAGAGCTGAGCAGGGTGGGAGTGATGGACAGCGACTGTCTGAAGAGACCAGCACTGCCTCTACCGCTGCTTTGACTGGCATAACTAGCCCTGCCCCCGTCTCTAAACTCAGTATCCCCTCCCCTCCCCATCATCCTGTCTGGATATCTGTAGCTTTCTCCCTCCCTTGGTGGGAAGGCGGGGTAGTGAGGAGAAGGCCAGCTGATGCCCCTGGGAAGGTAGGATCTCGGAGGGCCAATTCTGGGCTCCAAATATCTCATGCTTTCTCTCCTGGGTTCCGGCCAGTGCTGGTAGTATGGTAGATTAGTAGCTACAGGGACATAGTGGTGCTGGACAGACCCCAGCGTGTCTTGATAAGAGGGGGAGCATCTAGAGGATTCTGGGAAAATGGCGGCTTGGTGTCGTAGATCTGAGGGCTCAAGCATTGGGGACATTGAGGTTTGTCTAGGTGGGTACATAGCAGTGAGGTAGGAAGGACTAGCTAAAGATCTTTCTGTATGGTGGGGCCTTTCTAAGCTTCCCATGCTGGGACGCCGAAATGGAATATATTCTCTCCAACAGGGGCCCGGTGTGGGGAGGGAAGGCGGCGTGCGACCTAAACTGTAGGACTTGACCCTCACATCTGGGTTTGGAAACTCATCCCAGTAACATTTCTCAGAAATATATGTTCTTGGGGTCTCAAAATGCTCCCACCGCTGTGAGCCCAAGCTGATGGATTTCTTGAGGTAAGGCCGAGGCTGAGCCACGCCTGAGAGAGTCCTACAGGGACCAAGGCTTAAGGATTTCTTCAAAAATGGCACAGGGGCTTGAGTTATTCGTGAAACTATTTTATTAGTCCTGCTTCCCTGAGAAGCTTGTCTTTGGGGCTGCTCTGATGAAAACTCGTGTCTGTCATCACAACTCTGAGAATGCTTTGACACGATATCTGCCATACTTTTAGCTGCATTGAACAGAGTATGAACGGATCGGGTCCCAGGTCTAGATTCAGGCCTCCCTGCTCGTATCCGAGTTTTCTCGTTATACAGCTCCCTGCTTGTCTTTTCTGGGCCCGAAGAGGAGGGCCGTGGGTCGTCAGGGAATCGTACTCTGGTTTCCACATGAGGGGATCTTCTAGTCCCTTGTTTTTTAGAAGCATCAAAGCTTGAATCTGCAGCATCCAGAGAATAAGTCTGTTTCTGACTTGATACAGTTTCTTTTTTTTCTTGAACATGAACCTCCCAGTTTCTAGGAACAACATCAGGCTTAGCCACAACCGGTTTTTCTACAGGCTTCTGTTCTGAGGCTTGTTCGTTGATGTTGCTCCCCTGCACCTCTTCCACAGGTTCATCCACACTCATTTCAATGAAGCCTGGAAGACTCAGGTATTCAAGGATTGCACTTGTCTGGTGTGGGGACATTTTGGAGGACGGGGCTGTAGGCTTGGCTTTAAAGGAGCCGGACATTTGGGGGACTAAAAACTGAGACTGGTCACTCTCCACTTCTTCAACCAGACTTAAGGTTGAGATCGGGCTGGGACAGTCAGGGAAGAGACATTTCTCGCTTTTCCTGGAGCGTGTTCGGATGCCTTCCCTCTCCACCTCGGAGTAAAACCCTGAAGCCCGCTGGTCATTGAGACCATGAGTCTCCCTGTCTTTGGACTTGGCTCCTGCTTTTTTGTTGCCTGAGATTGAAGAACTACAGGGACTGGGATCATCTATTTTTGTAAAGCCTCCATCTGCAGTTCTCTCAATCTGATGTAACTGGACAGACAAAGAACTTCCTGGTCTCTCTTGGATGTCTAAACCCTGCAGCTGAGAAGCTAGTGGACTCCTTGATCTAGAAATATCACCCAAGTCTGTTTTGTTTTCCTCTAAGTTCTGCTCGGAGCCGGACTTGGTATTTGTCTGTTGCTGTTTCTGTGGACTCAATGACTTAGCTCTATCTGGCGTGACGTCAGGAGAGAGCATGGGCAAGGAGGTGTTCTGGGTAACCGGTGATCTAGATGAATGTAAAGTGAGAGTCTCCTCTGTGGAGTCTCCAGATGGCCCAGGGGACATAGTTTCACAAGGAGACTGAGCAGGAATGAGGCTGGTGACAGACGTAACCGGGCTAATGTCCCACTGTATGCGGGATGGGGGGAGCCTATCCAGCGGGCTGCTGGTGTTCCCAAAGTAGCAGGCCCTCCTATAGTCAGAAACCCGACTTGTCATACCAGAGGGCTTGTACTTCTGTCTGATAGTAACTTCCTGAGGTTTCCACACAGGTTCTTCCACTGATTTGGACGCAGCCCTTTGAAGGTGTTCTGGTTTTCTAGATGGAGAGGGATCCTCCCTCGCTCTACTGTGATGTCTTTGATTGGTTGCAAAGTTCTTCAACTCCCTCTCGATTTCTTCCCTCTCCTTTGCCAACTGGGCACACTTGTTCACACTGTCCTTCTCCAGCTCACCCTCCAGCTGGGAGACTAAGGTGCTGTTGTCAGTCAGATGGCTCTCCATGGGTTGGTAACCTCCATGATGAGGTCTGTCTCTGTCCAGCAGCCTTGTTCTCCTTCCCAAACTGGAGAACAAGTCCTCATGGTTGCCGGGCATGCGATACCTCCGTAAGGAATCACTGGTCTTTCTCTCGCTGTTATCAGAATAAAAGCTGGCTCTTTCCAAAAGAATTTCTGAGCCTTGTTCGTCGTCAGAGTAAAAGCAGCCATGACGCGAGAAGTTTCTTGCCATGGCTCGTACTCTGCCAGGGGACGCTGGGGGCCTGCTTAACTCAGGAACGTCCACCGTCAGAGGAGATTCCTTCCTCTCGTCCTTTTCTGAGTTCAAAATGCTTGACTTTGGAGAGTCCCTGATTGACGACCTGTTGCTCCCCGACCCTTTTATGCTCCCGTTACATTGCAGGACATCCCTCGTTATATTGTTTTTACTGGAAGGACTTGAACCCTCCGGAAGCGGCTGAACAATAAAGCGTCCGTCTGGACCTCGGGAAATAGACTCCAGAGCAGTTGGTGAAGGTGCCTGAGAACCCAGGTGACTCTCAAAGAGAGTGTAATGAGGTGGAGGAGATGAGTTGGACAAAAGCTGTTTCCTCTGATCATGGTATTCCCCACGGCTGCCTTTGTCAAAGGTGGAGCGATCAGACTGTGAAGCTGTGGTGTTGGGGAAGAAGGGAAGAGGCGGGCAAAGCTTAAACTTGAGGACGCTGTCTGGACTTCGAGAAGGTGATCGTGTTCTGGGGAAGATTAAAAAAAAAAAGGTTCAAACATTACAGATGGAGTCCATAAGGACATGTTGGTTGAGGAAAATTAAACTAAATGAGATACTTACTCCTCAGAAGGGTTTTTCTGTAAAGCAGTTGGCAGGTCTAAAAGAAAGAAAAGTAGCAGGAAGTGAATATTTTGGGGACCTATTTTAATGCTGCTTTGGAGGAAAAAAACTAATATCATCAAAATTTAAATGTATCTAAAACTTAAAGTCTTAGGGAAGCAGCCGTTCCAACCGTTGTATTTCCGAATTCTCCTGAGTGTTGCCCGACTTTACACAAGTGAATGTGATTGGTCAATTATCAAGGGGGTGGGGTTGTTGTAGTGGAAGGTTCGCGTCTTGTGGCTTTTTTCTCGGAAGCATCTTGCTAACCAGTTAGCAACTTAGTGCTAGTAGGTTCCCAATGGGAAATTACATTGGGACCAAGTAGCACTTAGCAACGGGACTGTCAAGGACAGCGGAAACATGCAAGAGAAGGAGAGTTTTGTGTCGAAGGCCATGGATGAGTCTCCTCCGTCACACATTTTTTATTTAGAGGAGGAGAGTGGGGACGAAGATGTTGTGGAAGAGGACGCCATGGTGGCAGATGCTTGGTTTGGTGTAGAAGGCTTAGAGCCGCGCATGTCTGAGCACTTGCCTCGCAACGCTGCCAGTTCTATTAACTCTACGCCTGCCGAAGACACCGACATCCATCCCCGTGAACACTGGGACGTAACTCAATGGTAAAGGAAATGATTCTTATTTCAACCGTTGCGTATATTAGCTACGACATATGAATCAAGATGCAATGACCTAAAAAATTTGATTGAAAGATGACTGTTGATATATGATTGGTCAAATTTAGGTGTTCAGGCTGACGTATAACTAACTGGCCTGCATAAGATAAGGAAAAAAAAAAAGATTTTAAGACAGGATTTTTTTTTAAATAGAAATTTTCAAAATTTTGGGGCAATATAGTCTGATAAAGAGTACATTTATATACATGTTTAAGCCAGAATGATTTCACATTTAAATATGATTTCCCTACGACTTTAAAGTAAATAAGACTGGCCTTTACATAAAAACAGTTTAATGAACAAAATGGTGTTTTAAATCACATAATCTTGATGTCAAAACTGGATTAACAGTTTGGTTATGATTGTTGCTTTTACTGTTTGAAAAATATTTCTTTCATATGTTTGTTTCTTATAAACATAATAATGCATGTTTAAAAGGCAATTTGAGTCAATTATTGACCTCTGGTCTCTTTTGTAAGTAATTCTAAACACTATTTTTAGCTTTTAAAGTAACTGATTCAGATGATCAAGATAAAATGTAAAGCCTATATCACCCACCTCTAGAGCTGAAGTTAAAGAGCAAACGGCTAAAAAACGATGGAACCTGAGCACAAACCTCCATCTAACCGAATATTAGTGGAAGTTTTGTCTTCTAACCTTGTCTTCTCTTTCTGTGTCTCCGCTTTCTCCTGTTGCTCATGTAGCATGCCGTCACCACCGAAAGGATAATTGCGAGGAACAGAAAGCAACCTCCCCCAATCATACCAGCCATCAGCGGTTTGGGGATGACTTCTAAGAAACTGGGAGGGAGGGGGTAGATCTCCATTCCTGTAATCAAACCGGAGTCAATTATTTACAGTTTTGTGCGTAAGAAACAAAATTATTTGTCTAATAATAATAATGTGTGATGTGTACAAATAATAATAATAAACAAAAACACCTACCTTTTGTGGAAACGCTCACAGACTCACTCGGCTCACTGAGCACTTTGTTGCTGCGTGACATGAGCCTTAAGTCGTACACAGAGTCCTGCAAAAAACAGGTTGTGTCTTTGACTATATGGGAAACATTCATGTTAACAGTTTCTTTCAGTGCTAGTAGTAAACAATCACCCGTAGCAGTCCTTGCACAAGTACTTCGCTCTGATTGGGGTGAATGTTGCTTCCAATGATGACCCACTGGCCCTGATCTCTGCGGGCCTGCAGGACAAAACCTGTCAGTGGAGAGACGGGAGCCTCAGGAGGCTGCCACTGCAGAAGAACACCTCGACTGGTCTGGTTAGCTGACAGCATGCTGGGGGGTTCCAGCTCCGGTAGACCTGAGTCTGCTTTAGGTAGCTCTGTTGGCACAGCTAAAAGGATAATAGGCGTGTATAGGTGAGCTTTAGCGAAAGCAGAACAGGACAAGGATGCCTGGAGGAGAGCAAACAGAACAAACCTTTTGTCCGTACGGTTACGATTTCACTGAAAGGTCCTGAGCCGAGTTTATTCTGAGGTAAGACGCTGAACTGATAGCCGGTGCCTGCGAGTAACCCAGTCACAAGCAGGTAGTCTTTAGAGGTAGGTACGGGCAAAGATGCCCATTCGTGTTTCCCCCTGGATGCCTGCTTGACCCTTTAGAAAATAAAATCAAAGCGTTTAAATTGTTTGAACTGTTCCTGGCAGGAAGTGTTTTAAACTGGGTACATTTAATGCTACTGACCACACAGTAAACTTCTGCGTAAATCCACCATCAAACCCTGGGACCCAGGACACATTGGCCTGATTCATCTCTGTGGTAACGGTCACTGAGGACACGGCATGAGGACTGGTGCCTGAGAAAGAAACAAACACTGTTACACATATAACCTGCTAACAACAAACTTTCAAAGTGATGTGATAAATATTATGACAGATAATGTTAATACACCCACCAAGTGCAAAGACCACAGTGCCTGCGCTTACAGTTGCCACGCGGTTGGTGGCCAAACACTCCCAGCCTCCATGGTGGTCTTTGCTCAGTGGCTGCAGCAAGAGGGAACCGTTGGACAACACAACGTACGGGGAGCGAGGACTCGGGCCAATCTGCCAAGAACAAGTTCATGTTAGGGATCCATCAGATACAGCTGAGTCTGTAGAAAAGCAGATTTTCCCCACACCTTGCTCCAAGTTATGTTTGGAGTAGGATCTCCGCTGGCTTCACATGGGATGATCAACTCCCGGCCAACCTCCTGGAGATACTCCGGCAGAGGGGGGACTCGAAATGATGGTGGGTCCTGGAAAAAAAAGGCACTATTTCCTAATTCAGCTCCTCTATATATAGGCAAATAATTCCCTAATAATAACCCTATTACCTTTTCACAGTTTTTATGTTACAACCACAATTTTACACAAATGTATTGAATCTTTATGATAGACCAACATAAAGTAAACATAATTGTGACATTGAAGGAAATGTAAACTGGTTCACTTTTTCACACAATTAAAAAAATCTGAAAAGTGTGAAATTTAAAAGTTAATTCGGATTAAACCCCGTTGACTCTGATGCCCAGAAATAACAACGCTGCATTTTTAATTTTTTTAATTGGCTCAGTGGAGCACTGTTTAGCACAGCTGCTTTGCAACAAGAAGGTTTCAGGTTTGATTCCCAGCCCGGGGTCTTTCTGCAAGGAGTTTGCCTGTTCTCCCTTTGCATGTGTGGGTTCTCTCCAGGTACTCTGCTCCCTCCACAGCCCAAAAACCTGACTGTTAGGTTAGTTGGCTTCTCTAAATTCTCCTTAGGTGTGAGTGTGAATGGTTGTTTGTCTTTCAGTTGCCCTCCAATGGACTGGTGATCTGTACAGAGTGTACCTTTCCTCTCCCCCGTAGAAGCTGGAGATAGGCACCAGCACTCCTTGCAACCCCAGCAGGGATAAAGCATGATGGGAAGTGGAAACAATTTTTTTGGAAGGTTTTCTTGTTAGATGATGGCAAAATGAAATTATTTTACCCACAAAGAAACATTACATGAGGAGAGTGGCAGCATCATGCTGCGGGGAAGATTGATCTTAGCAGAGATAGGTAAGCTAATTGAAGATAATTAAAGGTTATTACAGAAGAATCTGTAAAAAACCCATAAAGTTCAGATTGGTGCAGAAGGTCTACCCATCAAAAGACCCCAAACACATAGCCAGTGCTTCGAGGAAATGGTTTAAATCCCTGATTCTTATTGTGGTACACATACTGCTGGTGTTACCCTGACTTCTTCTAGTGGTCTAACTATGGTTTGAACTAATGTAACATTTTTAGCTAACCAGGGAGGGGAGAAGTTAAAGCACTATGAGTTTTGAATCTGACCCTTTTAAGAGACAAAATGAGGTTTTGCTCATTTAACTTCTGAGGTGAGAACTCTGACTTTGTACCCAGATTAATAAAGCTTGAGGGGAATTTGCAAACAGCTTGCAGATTTTCCCTGTCAAGGTATGATTGCTGTCTAGGTCTCTGTGTCTGTTCTGTGATGCTCTAAACAGAATCTAACTCAGCGAGAGCTCATTTGTGAAGAAAACAGACCAAAAAGGCTGGTGGGGACAAAAGACTCATAGCTATTTTTTAATTAAAAAGTGATTATAGGAAGTATTACCTCAGGGTAATAAACATAAAATACAGTATGTAAAGGTTTAATTTCACTTCACATTTCTGCACAGCTTTGTGTTACTTTTACTTGAAATTGAAATAAGCCTGAAAACAGGAACCTCACCTGTAAAATGACTTTGGTGGGCTCAGATTGACCCATTGTGCCATAGCTGTTATAAGGAGTGCAGGTGTACATGCCTACAGCATTGTCATTGGCTGTCGCTATAAACACGGAACCTTCTGAATTCACCATCCAACCTGGAAACTAAACAGGTAACAAAACAACAATATTAGCCCTAAGGCGACTTTAAGAACCAGATAACGCACGTCATAAAAAGGTGTTAACATTTACATTGTCCAGGTTCAGCTCATTCCCGTCTTTGGTCCAGTTTACGTACAGGACAGGCGGGTCGGCCTGAACGGGGCAGTAAATGACCCCCTCCATCCCTGCTGGCAAATAGGTTTCACGCAGCATTCTTCCAACACGGGCAGGATCTAAAATCACAGATTCATAGGATAATACACTCCCTGCAGCTCTAGTGAGCAGCACAGCACAGAACAAGAAGGTAAAACACTAACGTTTCACTTTCAGATGGGCAGAAGCCGAGGGTGGTGTCAGTATTCCATTAGTTGGAATGCAGGTGTAGTTGCCAGCATCTTCTGGAATAAGATTAGGGATCAGAAGAGTCCCATCCACCAAAATCTTTACTCTGGACTTAAGGGACCTAAAACCAGAAACATTGAAAATTTTGATGCAGTTCATGATTAAACTGCCTAGTTAAGAAGTACCCTGAAATGCAAAAAGTATTTATATTTAAAAGGATGGGCAGAAAAGCTTAAGAAGATAGTAGGTTAATCTAAGCTACAATCTTCTTTGTCTCAGCTTGTTCATGATCACATGATAGAATTGTCTAATGAATAATCCAATTAAAACTTATCGTATTAGCAGCGTACTTAGGGGAAACACCTGAATGATGTTTTTCTAATATTTACAGTAACTAAGAACAAGTGTGATGTTTCCAACTATGCTTGCTAGTTTTTCATAGATCTGGACTCACTCAATGTGGTAAACGTTCTGTCCTTGTTTCAGCCACTCGTAGGTGAGGTTTGAAGGGTAAGCATCTGCCTGACACTGGAGAACAGCATCTTGAGACATATTGAGAGTCGTGTCCTCAGGGGAGATGATGATGATTGGTGGACCTTCAAGGAGTAACACACATCAGTGAAGACTGCTCATCAGTTTTAAGTTGCTGCAAAGCACCGAATGAACTGTAGGTGGCAGCAAAACAAAGACGATGTGTCCTACACTTTTGCCAAGTTTTGTTTTCAAGGCTATAAATTGATAAGAAACTAAAACTGCGCTTCCTTCATATGTGCAGAGAGTCTGTGTTTGATGACGGCTCATTCAACAGTTACCTTGAACCTGCAGCTGTGTATAGTGGGTTAGGTTCCCCTCTGTGTTAGACACATGACATTTATACACTCCTGAAACGTTTCTTGTGACAGTGGCCAGAGAGAGGGTACCGTTGAGCACCTAAGGCAGCGTTGGAGAGCATAATACAGTAGTTAAACACAAAATACATTTGGATAGGAAAAAAAAAACTGCTTTAATGACTGAAACAAGCCGCAATCTGTTGATGTGACTCACTTTTATTTTCTCATGTTTCTCAATTGGACTCTCATCTTTATGCCAGACAACCGTTGGTCGAGGGTTGCCGTGGGCACCGCAGCTTAGAGTCAACGAGTCTCCGAGCAGAACCTCCACAAAAGTCGGCGGCGTCTTAATGAACACAGGTGGAGCTAGAGCAAAATAAAAAATTTGTAAAATCACTGGTTACTTTTCTCTACATGATAAAATTAGGGATAAGTGAACCTCAATGCTTTGTGAAAGTACTATTTATATTTTTTCATATCACAACCATTTACTTTAATGTCATTTGTTGGAATTTAGTATCACAATCCAACACAAAGGAAATTAAATACAGCTTACAAAATATTATTCCTGCAAGTATTTTAGGGCATTTCTTAACAAATGTATAAACTTTTATTTTCCTTTGCAAAATAGCTCAAACTGAGTCAGAATGAATGAGCATCTGTAATTCATTTTGAAGCCCTGGAATGAAATTTAAATTAGGCCCGGACTTTGACTGGGCCATTCTATAGGATGAGCATATTTGATCTATCATTATGTTGTAGCTCTGGCTGTATGCTCAGGGTCACTGTCCTGCTAAAAGTCCCCAGGGTTGCGCTGCAATTGGCTCCACCCATTTCTCTATGAAAATCTAACCACCTCGTTTAGGAAACCTATTCTAACATGTTTACCAGTAAGAATGAAGAGCTAAAGAGGATGCACAGCCCCTTTCCTGCAACACATAGAAGTTCACATGTAGAACAAAATCTTCTGGACTCCTTTGAGTGACCATCTACATGAATTGTAGCAAACAAAACATTGGATATAACACTTTTTATGTCAAAATTGGATTTAGGATTACTACATTTCCAGGAACTGATGTAATACAATATTCCCAAATATAGAAATAGTGCAATGAACAACAAAGGGTCATCTGTAACATGGTGCAACAAAGAGACAGCTTTCCTTGACTGTACTATTATTTTATCAAACCTCTACTTCACACTCTGAGTGACATAACTCCACCTCAGCTTAGGCAGCAGGTGCATGTATGAGTGAGACTTAGAGCTAAGAGGCATGTGAGTCAAAGGCTTTGGGCCTTTAACCTTAATCTTTAATGGCAAACCTCACATGCACTGGTCAGTTCCCCATCACAGATAAAAACAAGTTGTGATCCCCTCTCATCCAGTGTGTAACAAGCAATATCTTTAATGCGCAGCAATGATGTTCCCTTTGCCAGGGCCTTCAGAGTATAGCCAGACCCCAAGCTGGGATGTTCTAAATAAAGCCTAAACCAGCAACGAAGGAAATGGCTCCCGTGTCCCCAACACCCTGCAGAGCTGCACCTGTGATGGAGAGGAAGGTCCATGTGCCATTTTGAAAGTTGTCTGTCTTGCTGTCCAGGAGAAGGATGCGACACTCGAACCAGCCCTCATCCTCCAGGGTCAGTCGTTCCACCAGCAGAGAGGCGCCCCGGGTCAGAGACACACGCCCTGTGGGAGAAAGGGTGAGGGTTGAAAAGCAAAGAGGGAAAAAAAAGATTAACAAGCAAACAAAGGCAGACAGGCAACGTCAGCATATGCTGGAAGAGGGCTTTTCATGCAAAGGACACAGCCATCCATTGTCACAAAGGCCAGTGTCAAAGTCATCGACTTCCTGCAAGCAGACAGATCCACACTGAGTGGAAAGAGGATGTTTTCTTTTGTTTTGCTTAGAGTAGTTGAAGACCTATAAAAGCAGCAGAAGTAATGAAACCATATGCATTGAATCAATTTTAATCTGAATTTAATCTCACATTTGATTTGATGCTCCACAGTTGCAACTGTAGTTTTACTTGCTTGTTTTATTATTTTTTTTTACAGAGAGAGGTATATAAACAATTTCCTGTTCATGAAAGGTATCAAAAGTGGCAGCGTGGGTCAGAAAAGAAAAAATAACAACATCATAATACAGCACTACACAAAAATATTCACACCACCTTAATTCTTTCTGTTTAGTCAGGTTAAAACCACCCACTTCTATACATTTTATTCGGATATTATATAACAGACCAACAAAAAGTTATGTTTGATTGTAAAATCAAAGGAAATTCTTTATAAATGTTTTTAATAAGAGAAAATCTGAAAAGTATGGAGTGCATTTGCATCCCAGTGTGTATTTTTCATGGAAGCACTTTGCACTGCAAAAAGCTGCAAGTCCTTTAGCCCTATTGTTACCAGCTTCAAGTACCTAGACTGACATTTTTCCTATTTATTCAGATAATCTTGCATAATCAGACTCAATGGGTAGCATATGGACCATTCAAACCCATTTATTGAATTAATGTAAACCAATCTACAAAATTCCTGCCTGTTGGAGGTTGTTGCTCTGTTAGTAGGTGAACTTCTATCTTAGTCTCAAGTCTCAAGACTTGTATTTACCTGTATATTATCCCATTTACACTGACTAGCTATTCTGTCTTTGCCTTAAAAATATTCCCTCAGTATGATGCTGCTACATCCAGTTTCACTATGAGCACAGGGTTTAGATTGTTAGAGTATTAACAGGACCAAATATGGCATCCTTTCATCCAAAGGCTTTTTTTTTTTGACAATCTTCTAGATTAATAGGGAGTTTAGAGAGAAAAGCAGTGAATGCAAATGTATTCAGCCCTTACGTATCATTGTTTGTGAAAATAAAGTTGATTAGTGTTCTAATATATAGAATAAAAAGAAAATACTTTGAAGCTTGTGGTTAAAACATTACTAAAGGTGTGGGTCATTTTTCTGAAAGGGTGGAATCCAACATTTTATCCAGAAACTTTTAACAATAAGCCACTCTTCACTCCCTCATTCCCTGGCTTCATCCCAAAAAGACAAGGTAGGCTGGTCTTGTGAAAATGCAAACAATCAATCTCCAAAAGGAACTTCAGAACAATTTTGCACAGGGTTGCGCCAACCTCTTCATTAAACAAAACAACACTAAAAAACAATTAAATCAAAATGAAACTAGATGTATTTCTTACTATGTCTTATGCCTTTCTGCAACCCTGACTTCTTTTGATTTTAAATAAATCCAAGTGCTTTTCTTCGCAGAGCTCAAATTTATTGTAGTGAAAACTGTTGAGCTTTAATACGCTGGGTTTTTCATCTGATTCCAACTCAGATGCTGAGAATTCAGTGGCCCCGAGGTGGAGAGCAAATACATGAATCACTACAGTGATGGTTAGGATGATATATAAGATGACAGATGAAGACGGTGTCCTGTCATTTAGGGTTTGGGCGGATTAGCAGAAAGCTAGAGTTAGCAAGCCAGAAATTCTTGAACATGGTATCATTAAAAAACTTCAATGTAAAAAATATATATATGAGTCATTTTTATTTTCGATGCTCGGATGAAAATGTAAATCTAAGACAATGCATGGGAGAAATGAGTCACTTGTTTTCTCCTTTGGGGGCAAAGAACAGAAGTAAACAAGAAGAAGCATGGCAGATGCACACTGTGCACTTGTGTGAGAGCACGTTCGCACACAGATGGATCCCGTGCACAAGCGCGCACGTTTCTACCACACACATCCAATACCCCGCTTCCTCCGCTGCCCTCTGTACTTCTTACAACTCCTTGTCAAGCTTTGAAACTTGATATGCTAGTTGCCTGGTGACTGCAGCCTGGCTTTCAGGGTACTCCCCCTCCTTTTATTCTGTCTCTCAATGAACCCTTTTTTTTACCCCCCCTTCCCTTCAATCTGAGGGCTTTAAATGACTGGAGGATGCGGGTGGGGGGGAAAACACACACGATGCTCATACCAGACCCTGCCAGGGCAGTTTGAAAGTAAACAGAAATGTGAAGGAGTTCCCATCATCCGTTTCTTCTCCTTGCAGTCTGCAGGTTAGCTCGAATGTGCATTAATAAAACTTTGCCAAGAGCTTAAAAATGACACTCAAGCAAAAATATCTACATGCAGGGTGTTTGCAAAGTTACTTAAAAATATGTTTATTGGGGATTTAGTGAGACAGACCAAAAAGAACCTGAATTTATTTGAGAAGTAGAAGGAAAATGTCACACAGCTTTCAAGTTTTTCTTGGATTTGAAAAAAGTGGGTGTCAGTTTCTTTTCAAGGATCTTTGAGACAATACTTTGTAGAATCCATGCCATGTCTCAGGGATTCTTGTCTCAACAAACTTGGTGTTTGCTGGAGATCATGTGTAAATAACACTTTTCAAGATTTAGTCTTCTGCCACCTTTAAAAGATATTTTTTTACCTGCTTTCAAATGTGTTTTGAGGAGTTTTTCAAGTCCTCTTCTTCCTCTATCTGCTCACCTGCCTCCATCTAGCCTCTTTTTCCATCACACTGCATGTCCTCTCTAATTCCACCCAGAAGTCTCTTCCTCTAGGTCTCCTGCCTGGCAGTTGTATCCTCATTGTCCTTCTACCGAAGAGCTTCTCAGTTATTGCTGACTTCAGAAGGCATCTGGTTGCGTTAAACTATTAGGAGTAAAAAGGCCTGAGTACAAATGTAATCTTGAATTATTTGTGACAATTATGTAATGATTTGTAGATAGATAACAAAGAAATGACCTGAGATAAATACTCCAATGTGGAAATACAAAAAATGTTAAGGAGGTATGAATACTTTTGCAGTGTTGTACCTAAAATTAGTTTCCTTTATTGAAGCTCAAGCGTACATTCAATCTGGATGACTCTTATCAGCTTCACATCAAACATCTGCGTTGTCCCTCGTTCAGCTCCAGCCAATCAACTCGGGAGCCGCAGCTTCTCCGAAGCCGATTCATTTAGCTCCTGTCCTTGCTTCTCTCTCCCGCACGCAAGTGAACTTTCACCCACCCCATCTCCTCCCTCATTCTCAGCCCCATTCATTCTCTGGCTTATTCCACCGCTAGTGTCCGGGCCACGGGAGAAGACTACTCTAATCCTTTCAAAACGTATGTTGATTCACAGTGTGGAAGTCTTCTGCTGGGGCCCGAGTGCCAAAGAACTTATTTTGTTTAGGTCTTCATCTGCTTCTGTCTTCTTGAACCTCAGTCGGCCTCTGCAGATGGCCGCTCGCATTGTGCCTGGTTCTGCTGGAGGTTTCTTCCTGTTAAAAGGAAGTTTTCCCCTCCACTGTCGCTACATGCATGCTCAGTGCGATGGATTGCAGAAAGTCAACGAGTCCTCGCAAACAGCTGGAGGAAATATTTAGAAGAATATGAATGTGTAACCTGTATAAATAAATTGAATGTTTTCTGATTGTCTGCCTCTCCAGGTTGAATTGAACCCTTAAGGGGAGCACAGGTCATATAGCACAGATGTTTTTGATACGATACAACATAAGAAAATTCTTCTATATCCTCCAACCTTGAAGCAACATTAGTGCTCTTTAAAATCTCCCTACTTAACAAGGTTTTCCTCTGAGAAAGTGAGGCCCTCGATTAAAGCCTAAAAGCTTTAAAATTTGTTTAACTATGCGTACGGCCTTTAAAACGCGTTGAAAATCAGAAAGAGAGAGGACAAACAACAATAGGTAACAATTAACCCTGCATTCCTGTCGGTCTAGTTGCTGTGCTTACTAGTTAGGTTTAATGATTGACTGACCTCCCTAAAGACAGAGAAGCATTTGATGGGCGGTGCTCACTTTAGAGGATCCATAAAATGAAAGGGTTTGGTTTCAGGTCATCATCTTTCAAACAGCTGGGAAGGGTTGGAAGATGAGGCGGAGAAATGTGGAGGGAAATGATAACAGGTATGGGGATAACTTTAGATATTTTCCTCTAATCGTTCCATGAGGGATCCTCCCACGGCTGCACATTTCCTCTGAGCGCGTTTCTCATCAGATGTGGAATTTATTGCCCTCTGTGCAAGAGTGGAGCTGCACATTGTGGGATATTTGTGGCTAATTGCACCCTAAAATGCAGCCTGTGGAAATCCTGACGATGCCACAGGGCCCAGAAGCACGTGGGTGTGTAAATACATGTTGATTTTCAAAAACCAGAGTGAGCCCTGCCCCCCTGAGCCCTCACAAGGGAGTTCTGGTTTCACTGTCAAACCCTGTCTTAACCCTTTCCTGTATCCTCCCCCCTTGTCTGTCACTACAAAGAAATGCCCCTCCCCAGCCCCTCACCCCGTCATTCCTTGGGCTCTTGGGTTACCATAGTGATGGGACCGAGAAAAGCCCGGGCTGTAGGTTCAGATTTAAAATTCAGTTGCTGTAGAAACACGACGTGGCCAAATATGGGTGGAGGCGGGGTTGATCATGTAGGGGGTGGGTGGGGGCTCGGTTTCTACTGTCAAAGATTTGAAAAATTACAAGCGGTGAAAAACATTCGCTTAGATTATAAAATCCGGACCCCAAGAGACAGAGGGGGAAAGAGCAAGAGGAATAATGACTGCAAAGAAAGAGGACTTTTCCTTTCACCCTGCGGGCAGACCAGACGACCAGGCTGTGTGACAAATGGTGCTTTATCCAAATCTGAAGGATGCTTGCTAGAATTTAAACCTCAGATGGCACTCTGC